AAATTTCATTGAAATTGGTTCAGGGGTTTTGGAGAAGAAGATTTTTGAAATTTTAGTCAATTTGACCCTTTTTGGCCCCGCCCCTCAGGCCCCTGGGGGCTTAGGACTAAACCGGCAACTATTTTTGTTGACCTTTGTCCATGGAAGGTCCCAGCAAAATTTCATTGAAATTGGTTCAGGGGTTTTGGAGAAAAAGATTTTTGAAATTTTAGTCAATTTGACCCTTTTTGGCCCCGCCCCTCAGCCCCTGGGGGCTTAGGACTAAACCGGCAACTGTTTTTGTTGACCTTTGTCCATGGAAGGTCCCTGCAAAATTTCATTGAAATTGGTTCAGGGGTTTTGGAGAAGAAGTCGAAAATGTAAATTGTATACGGACGGACGACGGACGACGGACGACGACGGACGACGGACGACGACGGACAAAAGGCGATCGCAATAGGTCACTTGAGACTTTGTCTCAGGTGACCTAAAAATTAATATTTTATTTTATTTTGACTGCACTGATTAAATACTGTAACTTACAGGAAACTTCATCCCAATTATTAGTGTCTTTGTACAAAATTTACCAAATGGCAAGCCTCTAAAAACATACACTGAATCCCTAATATTGGAGACACTGATGCTGATACCATAGTATAGAAATAGCTTGTCTTCTTCAACTGCTACATAACAAAATGACTCCCTTGATCATATATGTTTCTATGTTACACATGTTTATCTATTGTAACTAAAACTATAAGGCAGTGTGTCTTTATTCCGATGGAAGATACAGCAGGTAAATGACCAAGACCCCTTAGTCACCATGTATCACCAAACATACCAAGGGTTTCTAAAACACAAATTTAAAAACTGGGTCAAGGTCATACAGCACAGCAAGCTAATTAAGACCCAAATATCATAGCTCAAGGTCATACAGCACAGCAAGCTAAGGCCCAATTATCATAGCTCAAGGTCATACAGCACAGCAAGCTAAGGCCCAAATATCATAGCTCAAGGTCATACAGCACAGCAAGCTAAGGCCAAAATATCATAGCTCAAGGTCTTATAGATCTCAATTTATTTAAAAATAAATTTGATGGTGGACAAACAGAAACCTGCCAATATGATCACAGGCCCTTTGTGCAATCACAATTTCAGAGTAATTAAATCATCTCTTTAAATGGAAGTTTGCGTTTGATTTCAGTGTTTTCTTAATCAAAGAGCCATAAGGGAAAATATTTCTGAATTGTTATACAGACATACTTTATTTTGAAGTCTTTTAAGTGTGTCAAACTCTGTTTTGGTCAGATTTTTCCTGGCTGTTTTGGCAATTCTTGGCATCTTTGATCCAACATCCAAGAGATCTTCAAAAGAAAGAACAAAGCTTTTATTTTCATTTCTTACACATTTATGGTGAAGGAAATATTTTGTAAACAGGAACAAAAACAAGAACAAGCTTTGACGAAGATTAAGGATCTCTAACTCACAAATGTCTCATAAACCATCCCTGCAATCAAAAATGACACATTACAAAATATGACATTTGAATCAGCCAACAGAATCTGATTTACAGGCATAAATGCATTGATCAATCAGAAGCTATGACGGCCATCCTCAATCCTAAAACTTGAAAGACAGCCATTTAACATAAAGGATATATCTTAAGGATCCCTGTCCCACTGCACGTCAGTAACCTCCCCTTTATATCGTTTAGGATATAACTGTAGTACAATTTGGTTAAGTCTCTTCTACTAGCCACGTAGTTCAGTCAGTGAGAGCAACAGTATAGCAATCTGGAGTGGAGTGTTTCAACCCCCCGGTGTAGCCTGTAACAGTACTAGTATAGCAATCAGAAGTGGAGTGTTTCAACACCCCGGTATAGCCTGCAACAGTATAGCAATCTGGAGTGGAGTGTTTCAACCCCCCCCACCCAGGTGTAGCCTTCAACAGTATAGCGATCAGAAGTGGAGTGTTTCAATCCCCCGGTGTAGCCTGCAACAGTATAGCAATCTGGAGTGGAGTGTTTCAACCCCCCCCGGTGTAGCCTGCAACAGTATAGCAATCTGAAGTGGAGTGTTTTAACCCCCCGGTGTAGCCTGCAACAGTATAGCAATCTGAAGTGGAGTGTTTCAACCCCCCGGTGTAGCCTGCAACAGTATAGCAATCTGAAGTGGAGTGTTTCAACCCCCCGGTGTAGCCTGCAACAGTATAGCAATCTGAAGTGGAGTGTTTCAACCCCCCGGTGTAGCCTGCAACAGTATAGCAATCTGAAGTGGAGTGTTTTAACCCCCCGGTGTAGCCTGCAACAGTATAGCAATCTGAAGTGGAGTGTTTCAACCCCCCGGTGTAGCCTGCAACAGTATAGCAATCTGAAGTGGAGTGTTTTAACCCCCCGGTGTAGCCTGCAACAGTATAGCAATCTGAAGTGGAGTGTTTCAACCCCCCGGTGTAGCCTGCAACAGTATAGCAATCTGAAGTGGAGTGTTTTAACCCCCCGGTGTAGCCTGCAACAGTATAGCAATCTGAAGTGGAGTGTTTCAACCCCCCGGTGTAGCCTGCAACAGTATAGCAATCTGAAGTGGAGTGTTTTAACCCCCCGGTGTAGCCTGCAACAGTATAGCAATCTGAAGTGGAGTGTTTCAACCCCCCGGTGTAGCCTGCAACAGTATAGCAATCTGAAGTGGAGTGTTTTAACCCCCCGGTGTAGCCTGCAACAGTATAGCAATCTGAAGTGGAGTGTTTCAACCCCCCGGTGTAGCCTGCAACAGTATAGCAATCTGAAGTGGAGTGTTTCAACCCCCCGGTGTAGCCTGCAACAGTATAGCAATCTGAAGTGGAGTGTTTCAACCCCCCGGTGTAGCCTGCAACAGTATAGCAATCTGAAGTGGAGTGTTTCAACCCCCCGGTGTAGCCTGCAACAGTATAGCAATCTGAAGTGGAGTGTTTCAACCCCCCGGTGTAGCCTGCAACAGTATAGCAATCTGAAGTGGAGTGTTTCAACCCCCCGGTGTAGCCTGCAACAGTATAGCAATCTGAAGTGGAGTGTTTCAACCCCCCGGTGTAGCCTGCAACAGTATAGCAATCTGAAGTGGAGTGTTTCAACCCCCCGGTGTAGCCTGCAACAGTATAGCAATCTGAAGTGGAGTGTTTCAACCCCCCGGTGTAGCCTGCAACAGTATAGCAATCTGAAGTGGAGTGTTTCAACCCCCCGGTGTAGCCTGCAACAGTATAGCAATCTGAAGTGGAGTGTTTTAACCCCCCGGTGTAGCCTGCAACAGTATAGCAATCTGAAGTGGAGTGTTTCAACCCCCCGGTGTAGCCTGCAACAGTATAGCAATCTGAAGTGGAGTGTTTCAACCCCCCGGTGTAGCCTGCAACAGTATAGCAATCTGAAGTGGAGTGTTTCAACCCCCCGGTGTAGCCTGCAACAGTATAGCAATCTGAAGTGGAGTGATTTAACCCCCCGGTGTAGCCTGCAACAGTATAGCAATCTGAAGTGGAGTGTTTCAACCCCCCGGTGTAGCCTGCAACAGTATAGCAATCTGAAGTGGAGTGATTTAACCCCCCGGTGTAGCCTGCAACAGTATAGCAATCTGAAGTGGAGTGTTTCAACCCCCCGGTGTAGCCTGCAACAGTATAGCAATCTGAAGTGGAGTGTTTTAACCCCCCGGTGTAGCCTGCAACAGTATAGCAATCTGAAGTGGAGTGATTTAACCCCCCGGTGTAGCCTGCAACAGTATAGCAATCTGAAGTGGAGTGTTTCAACCCCCCGGTGTAGCCTGCAACAGTATAGCAATCTGGAGTGGAGTGTTTCACCCCCCCCCACCCAGGTGTAGCCTTCAACAGTATAGCAATCAGAAGTGGAGTGTTTTAACCCCCCGGTGTAGCCTGCAACAGTATAGCAATCAGAAGTGGAGTGTTTCAACCCCCCGGTGTAGCCTGCAACAGTATAGCAATCTGAAGTGGAGTGATTTAACCCCCCGGTGTAGCCTGCAACAGTATAGCAATCTGAAGTGGAGTGTTTCAACCCCCCGGTGTAGCCTGCAACAGTATAGCAATCTGGAGTGGAGTGTTTCAACCCCCCCCCACCCAGGTGTAGCCTTCAACAGTATAGCAATCAGAAGTGGAGTGTTTCAACACCCCGGTGTAGCCTGCAACAGTATAGCAATCAGAAGTGGAGTGTTTCAACCCCCCGGTGTAGCCTGCAAAAGTATAGCAATCTGGAGTGGAGTGTTTCAACATTTATATTTTACATTCAGGGCACTGATGTTGATTTATATTTTACACTCAGGGCACTGATGTTGATTTATATTTTACACTCAGGGCACTGTTGATGATTTATATTTTACACTCAGGGCACTGTTGATGATTTATAATTTACACTCAGGGCACTGTTGATGATGTATATTTTACACTCGGGGCACTGTTGATGATTTATAATTTACACTCAGGGCACTGATGTTGATTTATATTTTACACTCAGGACACTGTTGATTTATATTTTACACTCAGGGCACTGATGTTGATTTATATTTTACACTCAGGGCACTGATGTTGATTTATATTCTGTTTATTTCACCTTTTTTTCATAAAGTTCCACAAGGTATGGTTTCCTTTCAGAAATGATTGATCAAAGCTATAGTAATAGGGGTGAAAGGGTTAAAGGCCTATAGCTAGCTCCTCAGACGTAAGATGTCAGTCTTGAATACACAATGTCATGTGGAATCAGCCCATCACTACGGATTATTTAATGAAAGGTTGGTCAACCCCTCCTTGAGTACAGATTCTGATCCCAATCACAAGTTGAAAATAAAATTCTGACTGACCGTTACTGATAAGGGGAAAACATGAGTTTTATAGACAACTGATAACACCGAACAGATGATGCACAATGTAAGACAGGATTTCACAATGTGTACATTTAACACCATTATGCCATATACGTATATCAACCTGCAAAGGATTGACAAAGTCAGCTTGATAGAACTTGAGCCATATCTCAGCCAATCAAAGGCCAAGGTGGCCATCTTAATTCTGAAACTTAAAAGTCGGTCATTCAAGAAATACTTTCCCTATTTATCAATTCCACAAAGCATAAACAAATTCAGTGAAATAGAATTACAGTTACAACCGTCGGCCAATGACAGACATTTTGCAAAAATGCTGATTTTACCTTAAATGTCTTTTATGACCTGCAACACAAGAGGCCAAAAGAGCCTGTATTGCTATCATGGCAATATATTCTCATCAAAAGTAGTACTGCTGCATTTCCTCTGATTTGGCTCCATATCTCTGGTCCCAAGGATCATGTTTCAAACCAAATCTACTTTTGTTTTTAATTCCTTGACTGATGATGAAGGAGTAGGATTTTCATAGATTTATCTTTGACTTCCCTATTTGGCCCTCCCCTCTGCTCCAATTGGGCTACAACCTCTGTTTATACTACATTAAAATTGGCATGTGCCTCTGCCCCTGTGGGACTACATCCTGTGCAAAAATCAAGGAGTTTTCTTGGCCCAAATTTGCTGCAGAACAAGTTTAAATAATATCTCTTAGCCGAAGGAGTAAGATTTTAAAAATCTGTATTCCCTATTACACACTGTCCCTCTGCCCCCAACATTGATTCCCCTTGATGAAAAATTGCTTCAGACAAATTTAATTAAAATTTGTTCAATTGCTCTTGACAAGTAGTATTTAAAGGGAAATTGACAACAGACAGACGATGGATATGTCAAACCATGTACAATAAAAGTTCACCTGCCTTCCAAGTGTGTGCGCTGAAAACAATCACACAGTCAATGATCCATCTAGTACACACTACCAAAGTGTTCCTGTAGGAACGTACTTCAGTAAATTATGATCATTTATCAATTGGAATTAACAAGTACAAAGAAAGAACTTCATGTCAAACTCACCGCATGGTTTAGTTTTTTGATGATGTACTACATGCAAAAATTGCTGCTGTTCCTCGGATGTTCCTCTATCTAGAACCCAATTTCCATCTACATGCAGACCCCTTGTTCCTCCATCTGACATGCTAAATCGGCCTGAATTAGAAGCTGAAAATCGTAAAACAATACAGAAAATGTAGGTGTATTGATTTTTGTATTAAACAGTTCAGCATCAATATGTGTAACCTTACATTTCAACTATAATTTTCAATTTAGACTTTGATAGGAAAGCATAAAGAGTCTTAAAACACTAATCAATATAGTGAGTACAACTCAACAGTTAGGTGTTCTTTACATCCTACACTGACCTACAGTAATAATGATTTAAGTATGACGTGTTATTACATCTAATAAATTAGCCACACTGTATGATAAAACACCTTGAACTGAGACGAAATGTATGATAAAAAAAACTTGGATTGAAATGATTAAGATAAATTGTATGATAAAACACCTTGGATTGAGATGATTGAGATGAATTGTATGATAAAACACCTTGGATTGTGATGATTGAGATGAATTGTAAGATAAAACACCTTGGATTTAGATGATTGAGATGAATTGTAAGATAAAACACCTTGGATTGAGATGATTGAGATGATTAAGATGAATGGTATGATAGTACACCTTGGATTGAGTTGATTGAGATGAATTGTATGATAGTACACCTTGGATTGAGATGATTGAGATGAGATGATTGAGATGATTGAGATGATTGAGATGAATTGTATGATAAAACACCTTGGGTTTAGATGATTGAGATGAATTGTCTGATAAAACACCTTGGATTTAGATGATTGAGATGAATAGTATGATAAAACACCTTGGATTTAGATGATTGAGATGAATTGTCTGATAAAACACCTTGGATTGAGATGATGGAGATGAGATGATTGAGTAGATTGAGATGATTGAGATGGTTGAGATGAATTGTATGATAAAACACCTTGGATTGAGATGATTGAGATGATTGAGATGATTGAGATGAAATGTAATTAATCTCTGACTTTCAGTTGTGATAGACATTAAAGCATAAGCCCTGAATGTGTTTTACTAAAATATTTTAGGAATGCTCTTAAAAACGATAGCATGACTGAAGTGATTTTGACCTTAAGTTAGACATAAAGTAGGTGTTTAGAAAAATCATTGCTACACAAACTTACCCATACAACATGAACCACCGGCTGATTCTGCTTGTCTCCGCATCCTAGCAGGTAGTGCCTTTATTAATATAAAACAGCCAATTTACTTGAGAAATCCACTAACTTCATCCTAACTATGACATTATTATCATGCATTATATATGATGTGGTTAGAACATCAGTATCACATGTGAACTTTTTGTTTAAAACTTGAACTCAGTAGATGAATGGTATTGGTAAATCTTACTGGATTGTTTTTCATCATTTTTCTATTGCATTAAAATTACTTGCTTTCAGAACATCTATATTGAACTGTACCATTTCTTGAATTTTAAAGAGTGCAGATAAGCACTTTTTTCATTTATATTAACAAGGACCAGATTTCACTAACCATCCATTATTGACATTGTATTAACCAGGTAATTGTCATCACATTCAAATTAAAAGAATATATCCAGTAACGTATACGTAGCAGTTTATTAACCTACAAATTACCTGATTTCTCTTAATATGTCTCCCTGTAGCTAGATTACCTTACATCTCTCGCTACTATGTTTTCTGAAATTGATTAAGTACATGTTCTTTTTCTGATGACCTGATGTCACTCTACAGCTAGATTACCTGATGTCTCTCTACAGCTAGATTACCTGATGTCTCTCTACAGCTAGATTACCTGATGTCTCTCTACAGCTAGATTACCTGATGTCACTCTACAGCTAGATTACCCGATGTCTCTCCACAGCTAGATTACCTGATGTCTCTCCACAGCTAGATTACCTGATGTCACCCTATAGCTAGATTACCTGATGTCTCTCTACAACTAGATTACCTGATGTCACTCTATAGCTAGATTATCTGATGTCTCTCTACAGCTAAATGACCTGATGTCTCTCTACAACTAGATTACCTGATGTCACTCTATAGCTAAATGACCTGATGTCTATCTACAGCTAGATTACCCGATGACTCTCTATAGCTAGATTACCTGATGTCTCTCTACAGCCAGATTACCTGATGTCACTCTACAACTAGATGACCTAATGTCTCTCTACAGCCTTACTACCTGATGCCTCTCTACAGCTAGCTTACCTGATGTCTCTCTATAGCTTTACTACCTGATGTCTCTCTAGAGCTAGATGACCTGATGCCTCTCTACAGCTAGATTACCTGATGTTTCTCTACAGCTAGATTACCTGATGTCACTCTATAGCTAAATGACCTGATGTCTCTCTACAGCAAGCTTACCTGATGTCTCTCTACAGCTAGATGACCTGATGCCTCTCTACAGCTAGCTTACCTGATGTCTCTCTACAGCTAGATGACCTGATGTCTCTCTACAGCTAGATTACCTGATGTCTCTCTACAGCTAGATTACCTGATGTCTCTCTACAGCTAGATTACCTGATGTCTCTCTACAGCTAGATTACCTGATGTCTCTCTACAGCTAGATTACCTGATGTCTCTCTACAGCTAGATTACCTGATGTCTCTCTACAGCTAGATGACCTGATGTCTCTCTACAGCTAGATTACCTGATGTCACTCTATAGCTTTACTACCTGATGTCACTCTACAACTAGATTACCCGATGCCTCTCTACAGCTAGATTACCTTATGCCTCTCTACAGCTAGCTTACCTCTAGATTACCTGATGTCACGCTATAGCTAAATGACCTGATGTCTATCTACAGCTAGATTACCTGATGTCTCTCTACAGCTAAATGACCTGATGTCTCTCTACAACTAGATTACCTGATGTCACGCTATAGCTAAATGACCTGATGTCTATCTACAGCTAGATTACCCGATGACTCTCTATAGCTAGATTACCTGATGTCTCTCTACAGCTAGATTACCTGATGTCACTCTATAGCTAGATTACCTGATGTCTCTCTACAGCTAGATTACCTGATGCCTCTCTACAGCTAGATTACCTGATGTTTCTCTACAGCTAGATTACCTGATGTCACTCTACAGCTAAATGACCTGATGTCTCTCTACAGCTAGCTTACCTGATGTCTCTCTATAGCTAGATGACCTGATGCCTCTCTACAGCTAGATTACCTGATGTTTCTCTACAGCTAGATTACCTGATGTCACTCTACAGCTAAATGACCTGATGTCTCTCTACAGCTAGCTTACCTGATGTCTCTCTACAGCTAGATGACCTGATGCCTCTCTACAGCTAGCTTACCTGATGTCTCTCTACAGCTAGATGACCTGATGTCTCTCTACAGCTAGATTACCTGATGTCTCTCTACAGCTAGATTACCTGATGTCACTCTATAGCTTTACTTCCTGATGTCACTCTACAGCTAGCTTCCCTGATGTCTCTCTACAGCTAGATTACCTGATGCCTCTCTACAGCTAGCTTCCCTGATGTCTCTCTACAGCTAAATGACCTGATGTCTCTCTACAGCTAGATTATTTGATGCCTCTCTACAGCTAGATTACCTGATGCCTCTCTACAGCTATCTTACCTGATGTCTCTCTATATCTAGATGACCTGATGCCCCCCTACAGCTAGATTACCTGATGCGTCTCTACAGCTAGCTTACATGATGTCTCTCTACAGCTATATAACTTGATGCCTCTCTACAGCTAGGTTACCTGATGTCTCTCTATAGCTAGATTACCTGATGCGTCTCTACAGCTATATAACTTGATGTCTCTCTACAGCTATATAACTTGATGTCTCTCTACAGCTAGCCTACCTGATGTCTCTCTACAGCTAGATTACCTGATGTCACTCTATAGCTAAATGACCTGATGTCTCTCCACAGCTAGCTTACCTGATGTCTCTCTATGGCTTTACTACCTGATGTCTCTCTATAGCTAGATGACCTGATGCCTCTCTACAGCTAGATTACCTGATGTCACTCTATAGCTAAATGACCTGATGTCTCTCCACAGCTAGCTTACCTGATGTCTCTCTACGGCTTTACTACCTGATGTCTCTCTATAGCTAGATGACCTGATGCCTCTCTACAGCTAGATTACCTGATGTCACTCTATAGCTAAATGACCTGATGTCTCTCTACAGCTAGCTTACCTGATGTCTCTCTACAGCTAGATGACCTGATGCCTCTCTACAGCTAGCTTACCTGATGTCTCTCTACAGCTATATTACCTGATGCCTCTCTACAGCTATATAACTTGATGTCTCTCTACAGCTAGATTACCTGATGTCTCTCTACAGCTAGATTATCTGATGTCTCTCTACAGCTAGATGACCTGATGCCTCTCTACAGCTAGCATACCTGATGTCTCTTTACCGCTATATTACCTGATGCCTCTCTACAGCTAGCTTACCTCATGTCTCTCTACAGCTATATTATCTGATGCCCTCTACAGCTATATTATCTGATGCCTCTCTACAGATATATAACTTGATGTCTCTCTACAGCTATATTACCTGATGCCTCTCTACAGATATATAACTTGATGTCTCTCTACAGCTATATTACCTGATGCCTCTCTACAGCTAGATTAACTGATGACTCTCTACAGCTAGATTACCTGATGTCTCCCCACAGCTAAATGACCTGATGTCTCTCTACAGCCAGCTTACCTGATGTCTCTCTACAGCTAGATGACCTGATGCCTCTCTACAGCTAGATGACCTGATGCCTCTCTACAGCTAGCTTCCCTGATGCCTCTCTACAGCTAGCTTACCTGATGTCTCTTTACAGCTATATTACCTGATGCATCTCTACAGCTATATAACTTGATGTCTCTCTTCAGCTAGATTACCTGATGTCTCTCTACAGCTAGCTTACCTGATGTCTCTCCACAGCTAGATTACCTGATGTCTCTCTACAGCTAGCTTACCTGATGTCTCTCCACAGCTAGATTACCTGATGTCTCTCTACAGCTAGCTTACCTGATGTCTCTTTACAGCTATATTACCTGATGCATCTCTACAGCTATATAACTTGATGTCTCTCTTCAGCTAGATTACCTGATGTCTCTCTACAGCTAGATTTCCTGATGTCTCTCTACAGCTAGGTGACCTTATGTCTCTCTACAGCTAGATTACCTGATGCCTCTCTAAAGCTATATAACTTGATGTCTCTCTACAGCTAGATTACCTGATCAGCTAGCTTACCTGATGTCTCTCTATAGCTCTACTACCTGATGTCTCTCTATAGCTAGATGACCTGATGCCTCTCTCTACAGCTATATAACTTGATGTCTCTCTACAGCTAGATTACCTGATCAGCTAGCTTACCTGATGTCTCTCTATAGTTTTACTACCTGATGTCTCTCTATAGCTAGATGACCTGATGTCACTCTATAGCTAAATGACCTGATGTCTCTCTACAGCGAGATTGTTTGATGCCTCTCTACAGCTAGATTACCTGATGTTTCTCTACAGCTAGATTACCTGATGTCACTATATAGCTAAATGACCTGATGTCTCTCTACAGCGAGATTGTTTGATGCCTCTCTACAGCTAGATTACCTGATGCCTCTCTACAGCTAGATTACCTGATGTCCCTCTATAGCTAAATGACCTGATGCCTCTCTAAAGCTAGCTTACCTGATGTCTCTCTACAGCTATATAATCTGATGCCTCTCTACAGCTATATTAACTGATGCCTCTATAAAGCTAGCTTACCTGATGCCTCTCTACAGCTAGATTAACTGATGACTCTCTACAGCTAGATTACCTGATGTCTCCCCACAGCTAAATGACCTGATGTCTCTCTACAGCCAGCTTACCTGATGTCTCTCTACAGCTAGATGACCTGATGTCTCTCTACAGCTAGATGACCTGATGCCTCTCTACAGCTAGATGACCTAATGTCTCTCTACAGCTTTACTACCTGATGTCTCTCTACAGCTTGCTTACCTGATGTCTCTCTATAGCTTTACTACCTGATGTCTCTTTACAACTAGCTTACCTGATGTCTCTCCACAGCTAGATTACCTGATGTCTCTCTACAGCTATATAATCTGATGCCTCTCTACAGCTATATTAACTGATGCCTCTATAAAGCTAGCTTACCTGATGCCTCTCTACAGCTAGCTGACCTGATGTCTCTCTACAGCTATATTATCTGATGCCCTCGACAGCTATATTATCTGATGCCTCTCTACAGTTATATTACCTGATGCCTCTCTCCAGATATATAACTTGATGTCTCTCTACAGCTATATTACCTGATGCCTCTCTACAGCTAGATTAACTGATGACTCTCTACAGCTAGATTACCTGAAGTCACTCTATAGCTGAATGACCTGATTGCTCTCTATAGCTTTACTACCTGATGTCTCTTTACAACTAGCTTACCTGATGTCTCTCCACAGCTAGCTTACCTGATGTCTCTCTACAACTAGATTATCTGATGCCTCTCTACAGCTAGATTAACTGATGACTCTCTACAGCTAGATTACCTGATGTCTCCCCACAGCTAAATGACCTGATGTCTCTCTACAGCGAGATTGTTTGATGCCTCTCTACAGCTAGATTACCTGATGTTTCTCTACAGCTAGATTACCTGATGTCACTATATAGCTAAATGACCTGATGTCTCTCTACAGCCAGCTTACCTGATGTCTCTCTACAGCTAGATGACCTGATGCCTCTCTACAGCTAGATGACCTGATGCCTCTCTACAGCTAGCATACCTGATGTCTCTTTACCGCTATATTACCTGATGCCTCTCTACAGCTACATAACTTGATGTCTCTCTACAGCTAGCTTACCTGATGCCTCTCTACAGCTAGATTAACTGATGACTCTCTACAGCTAGATTACCTGATGTCACTATATAGCTAAATGACCTGATGTCTCTCTACAGCGAGATTGTTTGATGCCTCTCTACAGCTAGATTACCTGATGCCTCTCTAAAGCTATATAACTTGATGTCTCTCTACAGCTAGCTTACCTGATGCCTCTCTACAGCTAGCTGACCTGATGTCTCTCTACAGCTATATTATCTGATGCCTCTCTACAGCTATATTCCCTGATGTCTATAGCTAGATGACCTGATGCCTCTCTACAGCTAGCTTCCCTGATGCCTCTCTACAGCTAGCTTACCTAATGTCTCTCTACAGCTATATTATCTGATGCCCTCTACAGCTATATTATCTGATGCCTCTCTACAGATATATAACTTGATGTCTCTCTACAGCTATATTACCTGATGTCACTCTACAGCTAGCTTACCTGATGTCTCTCTACAGCTATATTATCTGATGCCTCTCTACAGCTATATTAACTGATGCCTCTCTACAGCTAGCTTACCTGATGCCTCTCTACAGCTAGCTTACCTGATGTCTCTCTACAGCTATATTATCTGATGCCCTCTACAGCTATATTATCTGATGCCTCTCTACAGCTATATTACCTGATGCCTCTCTACAGATATATAACTTGATGTCTCTCTACAGCTATATTACCTGATGTCTCTCTACAGCTATATTACCTGATGTCACTCTACAGCTAGCTTACCTGATGTCACTCTATAGCTAGATGACCCGATGCCTCTCTACAGCTAGATTACCTGATGTCACTCTATAGCTTTACTACCTGATGTCTCTCTACAGCTAGATTACCTGATGTCACTCTACAGCTATATTACCTGATGCCTCTCTACAGCTATATTATATTACCTGATGCCTCTCTACAGCTATATTATCTGATGCCTCTCTACAGCTATATTACCTGATGTCTATCTACAGCTATATTACTTGATAGCTTTATAGCTAGATTTGCTGATATCCATATACAGTGAAACCTAACTTACTCACGAATATCCCCTACCCTTCGAATAGTTCACTTGGTCCCGACCGTATTCTTATATATATTTGTAAATTAACCTTGGATTCCTCAAACAGCTATTGCTCTAATACCTTAGCTGTATTCCTCGAACACTGATTTATCACCCTCCACTCAAAACCTTAGTATTCCACCTATCTATTCGTTGAACAGGTAGACACACCAGCGTGTATAGCTGCGTGCCGTCGATATGCCTAGAGGCACAGGCTGCGGTCCACGCTCATTGTGCTAAATTAGAGGATTAACGGCAGTATCATTCAGTAACTGTACCGTTACCCTGGTGTAGCTGCATTATCATTTTGTGTGCATATTTATTATTTTCCAGACGATGTGTTGACATTGATGATTTGGCGGGAAGGTTAATTCACTGGGTGTGTAAAACCCTATTTCAGCATTGCAATATTAGGCGGAAATCTCATAGCAGATTCTCCACCAACTTTTTATAGATATTCAAACTTGAGTTCGTCATAACATGATAACAGGGATTGAAGATTTTCTTCATTTTAAAATAATCAAAGAGTTCCACACGTTTTGATATTTTGTAAAGTTAACCTAGCCGATTACAGTATGGTGGACTATGTCAAAACGACAAGCTTCTAGATATCGACTTAGCCATTCTGGACTAGAAGGCTAGATATCGACTTAGCCATTCTGGACTAGTAGGCTAGATATCTATTTTTTCCGCCCGTTCATATACCTGCGGCAATGCTACACCTCTTTGTCTCCTAACTGACATCTCACATTCCCTCCACGCAACATCGTCAGCATTGGCCTAGTTAGAAATAATATAGAAAAGTATTCACAAAGTGAAACAGCAGAATTTGACAACTTAAACACCAGAAATTGTATACAAAGAACAGATCTAGTTTCCCAACTCCCCTTGCCTTGACAAGGGTGGACTGCATTACCTAGAGCCCTATGAGCCTAAATGTCTAGCGGAGTGAAATTCATTCATAATTTAAGGACTTAAAGAATGGTTTAAGTTGGAAACATTTTTTCAAGACAACTTTCATCTGAAGCCCCTTTCACAAAGATGCTCTCTGCATTTTGTATAGTCCTTATGAGGAAACATGTACCAGTATTTCTCCTATATTACAAGCCTACATGTTGTCTCAGTCTCCTCATAAAGATATTTTCTTCTTTGGTTTTTGACCCTTATACCTCCCATGTGAATATTGTTTTAGATTGTTCAATATCAACCCCTTTAGGACCTATCTATTAGTCCCTTTAGCAGCAAGGCCAATCAATAACACATAACAGAAAGGGAAGCCCCTTGTAAAAACGCTTAGAACCAATATTTATTTTTCCCCTTTGTAATTCTATTCTTTATCCCTTATAGCTTGTTGTTCCTACATTTGGAGACCAGTGGATTTCACCTCTGATTCTCCTAAGTCTTCAGGAGATTAAAAAGTGGTACATGTAATGTCCTGTTTAAGGAAACACCCCTCAACCCCTACCCTCCTACTTTGAGGAAACTTTAAGTCCATTGTCATAACGATGTTTCCTTTCATGTTTTGCTGAAATATGTTCGGTCTTTATATAAGGGAAGCTCAGACAAAGTAATGCAAAGTTCATTATTTATATATATTTTATCACACAACATTATAAGTCTTCTATGTGATAAACAACTTGTGGAATAATCTGATAACAGCTATGGCGGGTTGCTATGCCTATTTCCCCAAAGTTGTGATCCGCTACAGCGCGCGTGCCGCCGTGTACTGTCATGTGGTGTCCTCATGTATTTTTATATAGGTAGCTCTTTCGGAATCCTGTGTCTAAGAATAGATTATCTTAAACATACGAATTTAAGAAAATGGCTGTTAAAACATGCGTTTCTCGATAAAGACTCAACAAAATGTTTATTTCACGTTATTTATAATAATTCAAAACAAACCATACGCTGTATGTAGCAAAAGATCGTACAATCATTACCAACAAGTTTTAAAAGGATATAATTTTCATTACTACTGCCTGCATCATGCCATTACCTGTTTTTATTACGAATCACACATCTTCCAAATTACATATAATTTTCGAATAACGTGTATTGCGCTGCTTACTTTGTATTGCAGTCTTCCTGTTTGCCACCAAGTGATTCCTATGTATCATATCTTCATTATTTATATTCAAGAAAATCTCAATCTCAAATCAGACCTATGGAAAGTATTAATAACGTTTGTGTTCATTATAGGGATATATATGGAAATCACATACCAATGGCGGTTCATCAGATTTCTCATCCATAGCCATTTTCTTTTTCCTTTTTGGTAATTTTGGCACCGGTAAATTTTTAACCTGAATTTTTAAGTTTATGTACAATTTGATTTATTTAACTTGAAATACTGTATACTGGGAGTTTCACTGCAGTTAAATTTTCGTCCTTTTTGTCCGCCAGAATGAGGGCAAATATATCATTACAGCCAACAATTGTTAACAACATAATGATAATAAAAGTTAAGGGTAAATTTCATATTGGCTTAAAATGGATCTTACTTTTGAGGGGTGAAAATTTCCCGGAACACAGTATTTGATTTGCAATATTGGACAAAACAGATTTGATACGAGATTTCGCAATATGGTACACCTCAATATCCTGGTTCCATTCATAAGCGACACAAATGCTCACACAATAGCTACAATAATATCTTATCATTAAAGGTATGACTTATGACTTTAAATTATAATCCTCACAGACAACATGTCAAATCTGTAATTAATGTAATTGCGAATAAGTTGGGCAAGCAAAAAGGAACTATAAGATATTAAGGCAAAGTAGCATCATTGTTTTACGAATATATTTTTATGAATATACTTATGTTGACATTGAAATTCTGAAAGACAATCTCATTTTAGGTATTGCCATATTTGACCAAAATATTTCATCAAAATCTGCTTAGAAATCAAGTTGGTAGAGTGAGATGGTTCACAAATTTCTATCAACATTTACAAAGACCTAATGCCATCAATCCTGGAGCCCTGAAGTATAAACTCATTCCAGATGTTCTCTTACTTGTTCTTTGTATAAAGCTTGATGAAATTCTGTTAACCAAATGATGTCCCTAGAGACATGATATTGAATCGGAACAAGACTGGACAGGGGTAACACCATATGATCCCAATAAAATGTTTGGTGGGGGAGGAGGGACAGGGACAGGGGCCGTAATGATAAAAAACCTTTACAAGTGTGTCCACACATACCCATTGCTGAACAGGACATAACTAGAATTTCTTGAATCACCTCAGCTATAATCACAATCAAAGCACAACAGCAATAAATATGGTTACCTAGATGTAACTGACAGAACATATTACTCTCTTTGTTATAATTTGTGTGTCTGACACTGGTGACAGATCTTGCTGAAAATTGACAGGTTCAACTCCTATTCTGTCTAAACAGTACCTCGAAAAAGTATATGCCTAAACATTTCATACCACAGAGATGCTTGATAAAGATTGTCAGATGTATCTCCTGGCAAAAAAGAGTACAGATAGAATGGCCACTCTGACCATAAGTGCTGTCCTGTTTCCTTGTAATGAACAACTGCCCTCATCCTGTCATGGAACGATTCGGGTACAGGTTATGGTGGAGTCATTTTAATAGGCTTATCAAATGGAACTCCTAGTGCTAACTTCTTCACTGACCATTGACCCATTGATGATCATAGACAAGCACATGCCTAAACCATTCACTCACAAGCCCCCCCCCCCCCTTTCCTCCTTGGATGAAGGGAAATAATTGGCTTTGAAAATCAGGTGGGATATCTCATGACAATGGGATCCCTGAACCCTCTTGACTACCACCATCCCTAGACAATGGGATCCCCAAACCCTCTTGACTACTGTCATCCCACGACAATAGGATACTTGAACCTTCCTGACAACTGCCATCCCACGACAATGGGATCCCTAGACCCTCGTGACTACTGCCATCCGAAGACAACAGGATCCCCAAACCCACCGGACTACTGCCATCCCACGACAATGAGACCCCTAGACCCTCCTGACTACTGCCATCGTAACACAACAAGATCCATAAACCCTCTTGACTACTGACATCCCACGACAATCGAATCCCTGGACCCACTTGACTACTGCCATCCCACGACAATCGAATCCCTGGACCCACTTGACTACTGCCATCCCACGACAAGGGGATCCCTAGACCCTCTTGACTACTGCCATCGGAAGACAACAAGATCCATAACCCCTCTTGACTACTGCCATCCCACGTCAATGGGATCCCCAGACCCTCTTGACTACTGCAATTCGAAGACAACAGGATCCACAAACCCACCGGACTACTGCCCTCCCATGACAATGAGATCCCTAGACCCTCCTGCCTCCTGCCACCGGAAGACAACAAGATCCATAAACCCTCTTGACTACTGCCATCCCACGACAATCGAATCCCTGGACCCACTTGACTACTGCCATCCCACGACAATGGGATCCCTAGACCCTCTTGACTACTGCCATTCGAAGACAACAGGATCCACAAACCCACCGGACTACTGCCATCCCATGACAATGAGATCCCTAGACCCTCTTGACTACTGCCATCCCACGACAGTGAGATCCCTGAACCCACTTGACTACTGCCATCCCACGACAATGGGATCCACAAACCCTATTGATTACTGCCATCCGAAGACAACAGGATCCCCTGAGACCCTCTTGACTACTGCCATCGGAAGACAGCAGGATCCATAAACCCTCTTGACTACTGCCATCCCACGACAATCGGATCCCTGAACCCACTTGACTACTGCCGTCCCATGACAATGGGATCTCCAGACCCTCTTGACTACTGCCATCCCACGTCAATGGGATCCCCAGACCCTCTTGACTACAGCCATCCCATGACAATGTGATCCACAAACCCTCCTGACTTCTGCCATCCAATGACAACAGGATCCACAAACCATCTTGACTACAGCCATCCAATGACAACAGGATCCACAAACCCTCTTGACTACAGCCAACCGATAACAACGGGATCCATAAACCCTCTTGACTACAGCCATCCAATGACAATGGGATCCCCAATGAAATTTTTGCATCTATTGTCTAATACATTCCGAGTCAATCGACAGAATTACATTTCCTCCCATGTAGCACTACTTTTTGAGCTTTCAATACACAAATGACAGTTTGATTGACCTACCTTCTCCAAGGGAACACTGCTGTCTAAGCTTCTTTCTAAAGTACTGGTTAATGTCCAACCATCACCATCACCTTGTGAAACCTACAATTTAGAAATTTAAATCACTAAACAATTCGAGATATTAGAATTAAATTCTGACTGAAAATGAAAAATGTATACTCAAAAGTATAATTTCCCTACTTAAACTATATTTAATTCTACATGCTCCCCAGGGTATTGAAATTCACAACTTTTATACTATACGACCTTTTAATCCATGAAGAGTATTTGACTCCAGCACATCTGGGCCTGAAGAAGAAGATTGTTGAAGTTTTAGCCAATTTTACTCCTTTTGGCCCCGCCCTCAGGGGTTAGATCCATAATATTCACATTGCTTTTGACCATGGAACTTTCCTGTAATTTTTTTATTGAAATTGGTTCAGTGGTTATGGAAAAGTAATGAAAAATGTGAAATGTTTACAGACGCACAGCAGCGGACAGATCACCTGAGGCTTTGTCTCAGGTGACATAAAGAGCATATCTACACAGGTATTTACATATAAACTGGGACATTACATTCAGGAAATCTATGTGATGACTTTTTTTGAGACCAAACCTGTGTATATAATTATACAGAATGGAATGAATGTAAAAATAAATTAACATACCTGTCTCCTTAGAGCATGCATGCCGTTTTCCATAGGCAGAGAGCTAAACCTTTGCTGTTTCTTTTTGCTTTTGATTGAAACCTTTGATTGCAAGCCTGAAAGAGGAGGTGGTGGAAGTGCTGCTGCTGATTGAAAAGCCATGGCTGATTGTGAAGGTGGGCGAGGAGGTCCTGCTGATTGAAAAGCCATGGCAGACTGTGGAGGAGGTCCTGCTGATTGAAAAGCCCTATCAGACTGTTGAATTGGTGGAGGAGGTCCTGCTGATTGAAAAGCCACGGCAGACAGTGGAATTGGTGGAGGAGGTCCTGCTGATTGAAAAGCCATGGCAGACTGTTGAGGTAGGGACATATATGACTTTAGAAGTGGGTGAGGAAAGCCTGGTGCTTTTAGGCACTGTATGGCATATTGTGGAGGTGGGGAAGGAGGTCCTGTTGATCTGGTATGGAGTGAAGGTGGGGGAGGAGGTCCTGCTGATTTAAAAGCCATGGCAGACTTTGGAGGTGGGGGAGGAAGTCCTGCTGTTTCAAAAAACATGGCAGACATTGGAGGTGGGGGAGGAGGTCCTGCTGATCTGTCAGGGAGTGGAGGTGGGGGAGGAGGTCCTGCTGATTTAAAAAACATGGCAGACTTTGGAGTTGGGGGAGGAGGTCCTGCTGATTTGGCAGAGAGTGAAGGTGGCGGAGGAGGTCTTGCTGATCTGGCAGAGTGTAGAGGTGGGGGAGGAGGTCTTGCTGATCTGGCAGAGTGAAGAGGTGGGGGAGGAGGTCCTGCTGATCTGGCAGAGTGTGGAGCTGGCGGAGGAGGTCTTGCTGATCTGGCAAGGTTTCTTGCTAATCTGGCAGAGCGTAGAGGTGGGGAAGGAGGTCCTGCTGAATTCAAAGCCATGGCAGATGATGGAGGTGGTTGAGGAAGAGAAGACAGACAACTTTCTGATGTAAAAGCCATGGCAGAAGGTGGAAATTGGGGAGCTGCTTTTAAAGTCACGGCAGACCTTGGAGACCTTTTGTGCAGAACCCTGCAACAGAACAGTAGCAAGATTTTTCTTCATTTTTCCCTGTTGTATTACCAAAGCTAAATCGAGATTTTCAACTTATATGTTTCAGACTTTATTCATTTTTTTATAACCCCCGCAACAAAGTTAAAGGGGGGGGGGGGGGGGAATACTGGAATCACTCTGTCTGTCTGTCCGTCCGTTCGTCCGTAGACACAAATTGGTACCACCTTCTCCTCCTAGATTTCAGCATGGATTTTGATGAAACTTTACACACATGTTATACCTCAAATGAACTTGTGGTGTCTCCCAGAACGCCATTATGTTCCTTTTATATTTACTAGAGTTATGGCCCTTGTCTTCAGTAGACGGTACATTATGTTACTGAAATGGCTAATTATCTTGGAAACGGTAGGTATAAATGAACAAAGTGACAGCTATATTCACAATTTCCTCCTTTCAGTGGCACATGACATAGGGATTGAACAGCATTTTTTTAATTTTCATGTCGGTATGAACGCAATTCGGTTACATCCATATTGCATAGATGTAACTGATTTGTGTTCATACCGGCATGATAATTTAAACTAGAACTGTAAGCCAAAGACTAACTAATACCCCCTGCTCCTATATAAACCAGAACTGTAAGGTAAAGGCTTACTAAGGCAAAGCATTGTAAGGCAGTCCATAGTCTCCCACCAGTAATGATTTCTTTATTGACTGAGCTGTTCACTTATTTAAGTATATAGGTCACTGACATACTTCCTGTACTCTCTCCCAATGCCAACATATACTTGCAAACCAAATCTTGTTAGCCCAGATGAATGAGTTTTGCTGAAATCGTCCTAGTATTTAAGGAAGCGCAATATCAGGTGGTAGTTATCAATAATCATATCTGAAAACTTTCATTAAAATTTGCCCCATAGTTTTGGAGGAGTTGTGCGGACAAGGATTTTTCAACAAAGGACCATAAATTTGTAAAAAAGGGTCAGACTGAATAAATAATACCTGAATGCACAACTTCAGGTGGTAGTTATAATATCCGGAAACTTTCGTTAAAATCGATCCATAACTGTAGAAGGAGTTGTACGGACAAAAAGTTTCAGGATTTTATCAACAAAGCGGGGGGTTATAAAAACGCCGTTCAATCCATATATTTTCATTTTTATTAAAGAACAATTGTTTAATTTTATTTATTTGTTCTTAAATAATTTATTGATTTTCTGATTTTCTGCGTTTTGTATATGCGTCGTCCTTTAAACGACATTGGCGCAACAGCCCTATTTAAATTAAATTGGCGCCAATAATTAACCGTAGTCATTTGAGCGTTTGACGCAGGGGCATTCTCCATGTTATCCTAAGCGAAGCGACAAGACTCTCATTGAACAAGGTTAATCTATGACGTCAAAAGTAAACCATGTGTTTCGTCACAAGAGTTTTTGCTTCCATACTCAAATGAAATACATTTCTGCTGGGAATGTTCAAATAGTGGGTTGCAGCACAAAATGTAAATATATAAAGAGGGATGTATGTACCCTACCGTCAAAATAATATGTAGCATTTATAAACAGATCCCCTCTCCCCAAAATCGACTCCTATTACATAATTGATTACAAGTAAAACACAAATTATTTGAAATACCAGAATAACACAATTTACAACTTTACATAGATCTATTTCCATACCTTCCCACTGGGGAATCCTCTTCCTCATCATCAAACAGACCAAAGCCCATGTCATCATCACACTCCTCCTCCTCCTCCTCCTCCTCCTCCTCCTCCTCCTCCGACATTACTTGCACTGCTTTCTGTAACACATTGAATTCCTGATCTTAACAACACACTTGATTTGATTGGATTTCTGATAATAAGGTTTTCAAGATTTCGAGATTTTTATTTTCAGCCACACTATATGTGGAACAAGAGGTCACATGTATAGGATACATTTATACAAACATTCATGGTGAAAATAACATCCCATTAGATATCTGATTATAATAACACAAATATTATAATCAACAGGTGATTCCTGGAAGTATTTCTAGTAATTGTTTTAAAGGGCTGTTGACTTTGTCTGATCAGTCTATAAGGTTGTCGGTAACCTTATAGCTGGTATTTATTGTTTTACAAGGCTGTTGACTCAGTCTGATCAGTCTATAAGGTTGTCGGTAACCTTAAAGCTGGTATTTATTGTTTTACAGGGCTGTTGACTCTGTCTGATCAGTCTAGAAGGTTGTCGGTGACCTTATAGCTGGTATTTATTGTTTTACAAGGCTGTTGACTCTGTCTGATCAGTCTATAAGGTTGTCGGTAACCTTATAGCTGGTATTTATTCTGGTAAGGTTTCCATGAAATGCCTACCCGAGTCATGAGTAGATTCCTGATTAAAGTAACACATTACATTCCAGTTCATAATGACACATTAGAATCCTGATGATCATACCAAGATAGATACCTGATTATAACAAGAGGCCCAGAGGGCCTGTATCACTCACCTGGATCTTTATGCCAAACAAGGATATATATGGTTATGGGGTGGGGATCTCAACTGTTTCACTGTCATGGCCCAGAAGTTAATGTCCTAGGGGTTTATCTCCATATACCCATCAATTGCATATATTAGCCCCTTAGCCCCACTGAGGGTCAGCCTCTTAGCGACACTGCCAGTCAGCCCCTTAGCCCCACTGATGGTCAGTCCCTTAGCCCCACTGAGGGTCAGCCTCTTAGCCCCTCTGACGGTCAGCCCCTTAGCCCCACTGATGGTCAGCCCCTTAGTCCCACTGAGGGTCTGACTCTGTCTGATCAGTCTAGAAGGTTGTCGGTGACCTTATAGCTGGTATTTATTGTTTTACAAGGCTGTTGACTCTGTCTGATCAGTCTATAAGGTTGTCGGTAACCTTATAGCTGGTATTTATTGTTTTACAAGGCTGTTGACTCTGTCTGATCAGTCTAGAAGGATGTCGGTGACCTTATAGCTGGTATTTATTGTTTTACAAGGCTGTTGACTCTGTCTGATCAGTCTATAAGGTTGTCGGTAACCTTATAGCTGGTATTTATTCTGGTAAGGTTTCCATGAAATGCCTTCCCGAGTCATGAGTAGATTCCTGATTAAAGTAACACATTACATTCCAGTTCATAATGACACATTAGAATCCTGATGATCATACCAAGATAGATACCTGATTATAACAAGAGGCCCAGAGGGCCTGTATCACTCACCTGGATCTTTATGCCAAACAAGGATATATATGGTTATGGGGTGGGGATCTCAACTGTTTCACTGTCATGGCCCATAAGTTAATGTCCTAGGGGTTTATCTCCATATCCCCATCAATTGCATATATTAGCCCCTTAGCCCCACTGAGGGTCAGCCCCTTAGCCCCCCTGAGGGTCAGCCCCTTAGTCCCACCGAGGGTCAGCCCCTTAGCCCCACTGAAGGTCAGCCCCTTAGCCCCACTGAGGGGCAGCCCCTTAGTCCGACTGACGGTCAGCCCCTTAGTCCCACCGAAGGTCAGCCCCTTAGTCCCACCGAGGGTCAGCCCCTTAGCCCCACTGAAGGTCAGCCCCTTAGCCCCACCGAAGGTCAGCCCCTTAGTCCCACCGAGGGTCAGCCCCTTAGTCCCACTGAGGGTCAGCCGCTTAGCGCCACTGACAGTCAGCCCCTTAGTCCCACTGATGGTCAGCCCCTTAGTCCCACTGAGGGTCAGACCCTTAGCCCCACTGACGGTCAGCCCCTTAGACCCACTGAGGGTCAGCCTCTTAGCGACACTGCCAGTCAGCCCCTTAGCCCCACTGATGGTCAGCCGCTTAGCCCCACTGAGGGTCAGCCCCTTAGCCCCACTGATGGTCAGTCCCTTAGCCCCACTGAGGGTCAGCCCCTTAGGCCCACTGAGGGTCAGCCCCTTAGTCCCACTGAGGGTCAGCCTCTTAGCGCCACTGACAGTCAGCCCCTTAGCCCCACTGATGGTCAGCCCCTTAGCCCCACTGAGGGTCAGCCCCTTAGTCCCACTGAGGGTCAGCCCCTTAGCCCCACTGAGGGTCAGCCCCTTAGTCCCACTGAGGGTCAGCCTCTTAGCCCCACTGACGGTCAGCCCCTTAGTCCCACTGAGGGTCAGCCCCTTAGCCCCACTGACGGTCAGTCCCTTAGCCCCACTGAGGGTCAGCCCCTTAGTCCTACTGAGGGTCAGCCCCTTAGCCCCACTGAGGGTCAGCCCCTCCTTTTGTTGAATTTTGAATCCTCACCACCTGAGGATGCTTCCAGTCAAATTTAAATCAGTTTTTAAGAAGAAGTTGTTTGAAGAAATTGTTGATGGACGGACGATGGGTGCAACAGTATGGTGTAAGCTCACTTCGGACCTGGTGAGCTCATTACTCACAGAATATTGATTATAATAACACATTAGATTCCTGATCATATAACAATTATCATGTTGGTCTTTTTCCAGTCATTTAAAATTTCACAGAGCATACTCACCCCAATACCTTTGAGCATCATATATAGAGTATTTGATGTTTCAAGTTTGAACTCCTTTTCTATGGTAGGAGCCATTCTAAAGATAAAAAGCAGAACTCATTTTGAAATATATGTTTGGTTAAAAAGTTCATTCAACAGAGAAACTGATCTATCCACGGTTGACAAATTAAAACAGTGAAACACTGGAAAGGTTCATTTAGGTTCACTGGTGATGTTATTGATATGGGAGTTACTTCCCCTTGTTGACCACTGTGGTGAACAAGGTGACGTAAACCTGGCTGAGCCGCTAAGTCCCCTGGTCTCTGTCCATAACGGGCCCCTGTTTTCTGATCTGGATGGCCTCCTTCACTTGTCGCACTCGCTGGTTACTCTCTCTGTCCACGAGCAGGCTAAGATCATGGACAGAGAGAGTAACCAGCACAGTGGTGAACAAGGGGAAGTAACTCCCATATCACTAACGTCACCAGTGACCAAGCTGGCAGAATGTCAGCGTAACTGTCTGGGTAAGAACATTGTTTTTACATAGCAGTGACTCGATGAATCTCGCAAATATATAAAACAGTGAAAGCTTAATAGGAAGGCTTACAACAATGTAATAGAAAGAAATGATACATGATGTCACAAAACATAACTGTGAACTATTAAGACCAAACATGAGAAAGGTGGATTACACACAAGAGGCCTAGAGGGCCTGTATTGCTCACCTGGATCTTCATGCCCAGCAATGGTATATATAGCTATATATAAGTTGGGGATCTAAACCATTTCAACGTTATGGTCCAGTAATTAAGTCCCTAGGGGTTTGGCCAGACCCAAGCCTTAATATTAATATCATGATTGTTTGTTTCTTGATGCCCAACAATGATATATATGGTTATAGGGTGGGCATCTATTTCAAAGTTATGTCTCAGAAATTAAGTCCCTAGGGGCTGAAATTCAAAGAAACGTATTGAAAAATGAGCAAACGCACAGCTGGACAAATGTTTTTACGTAAAGGGGCATACTCCCTTAAAAAGGTCTGAAACGAAAAAAAAATAACTTCATTGGGCACAACTTCTACCATTTGTACAGAAGAAGAATTTTTAAAAATATTTACCTAAATGTCCCCTATACAGGCCCTTTCCCACTGCCCCAGAGGGGCCACATCCTCCATTAATACAAAAATTGAATCCCTATGCCCAAGGATGTTGACATCAATATTTTTTTGTTTGAATCCCTCTCTTCGTACAGAAGAAGAATTTTTAATATTTTTCCCTATGTTCTCCCTTATGAGTCCTGCCCCTCTGCCACACGGGGAGCCTCTCTCTCCCTTTATACAAAACTGAATTTTCCTTACCAATGGATGTTTTAGGCAAACTTTGGTTAAAATCACTCCAATTGTACAGTAGAAGAATTTTACAGATTTACCTCAATTTCCCCTATTAGGGTCCAGCCCCTCTACCCCCAGGAGGGCACATTCTCCATTTATACAACAAGAGCACCGCGAGCAGAAGCATGATACGCCGGTCAGACCCCCAGAAGGGTATTGATATATTGGAAGCAGGTAGTGACATATGATATAAATGTGTTTACTGCCACCGTTTTGTTGGTGACGGTGACCTTGCCATTCATTTACTGTGTTTTTTGCGCAAGCTTTTTTGTGTTTCAGAATTACACTTTCATGGTCAATGTTACGTTGGTATTACTAAAACTAGAACTTTGGTTTTGAGGTAGGAGTCTTGAACTGCAATTTGCACCCAGATATTATGGCATAATATACATAATACATTGAGTTGATAGATTCAATTGTAAGATGAACTAATGATAGTCAAAAATATTTCATTTTGTTAAAGATGAATGCTGTAATTATATCTGTTAGATATGTTTGGTTTTTGTATTACCATACTAAATTTGAAATGAATTAAGCAAATAATCAAAAAGTTCTTACATTTTCGACAGAATGCCCTTACTTGGCAATGAAAAAAGGGCATAACTCTGCTGAATAGTGTTTAAATGTCACAATTTAAGGACTCATTCCAAGCTTTCAGGTAATGAAACAACAAGGTAGTTTAATAAAAATCAGAGAACAATTGTTTGAGTTATCTTGTAAACAAGGAAAAGTTAACAGCAAGAACTAAGTACAACGTAATATATGTTGAACGTTATTGCTTCAAGCATTACCGTACAAAATTTGAAAGGAACTTATTAAAACATTATTTGAGTTCTCGCCTAAACAAGCAAAAGTTAACGGCAAAAACGATGAACAGCGATACTATGTTAAGTGTGATATGCCAAAACGCGAAAAATTGAAACTCGACAGAAAAACCTGTAATATCTGTTGAACATTATTGCTTTTCTAGCATTACCATACAAAATTTGAAAGGAATTTATTAAAAAATTAAAAAGTTCTTGCATTTACTACACAATGCCCTTATTTGGCAATGAAAAGTGGCACAACTCCACCAAAATGCATGTAAACTTCTGAAATGCAAACTCCTAAGATGTTATATTGGTATGCAATATGTGTACTAAATTTCATCAAACTATGTTCATGACTGAAGGCAGAAAAGTGATGACAAGGAAAAGTTTGATGGACATCAGACAACGCAGCCCATACCATAATACGACCCATCGGACGACGTGCGTATAAAACTGACTCCTTTTTGTCCAAGAAGGCCCTACACCAAACTTGCATGGTTTAAATTTATCAACTCATACAGAAGAAGGATTTTTTTGTTTCCCCTATGTTATCCCTTATAGGTCCCTGCCCCTCTGCCACCAGGGGAACCACACCCTCCGTTAATACAAAATTGAAGAAGCCTCTCCCAAGGATGTTCTTGCTATTTGGGGCAGGTGAACTAAATAAAACAGGAAGAGGGCCTGTATCGCTCACCTGAATATTTAAGCAGTCATAGCAAATTATTCTCATTAAATATTATATTGCACTAAAAATATTTCCCTCGCAAACTTTTTTGGCTCCATCTGTTGAAACTCCCAGCAAAATATTATTATAAGATTCTATGCTTTTTGATTCTTCTTAAGAAGTTGCTTGACATATTTTTCCCTGTGACCTTGTAGGAAAGTCAATGTCATTTTCCTTCTCAAATTGGTTAGCTCTACTCCAAAATGCTACCAGCCAAATCTTATGAATCCATTCCTTTTAGTTCTTGAGAACAAATCCTTTAAAATGTTGTTGACCTCTGTGACCTCTAAAGTAGGTTGAGGTCATTTTCATTCGCAAACTTTGTTGGGCTCTTTCCCAGAAAGCTACAAGCCAAATATTTAGGTTCTATAACTTTCAGTTTTTCAGAAGAAGTTGTTCTTAGCGTTCGACATATCTGACTCCTGTGACCTTGAAAGTAGGTCAAGGTCATTTTCATTTTTAAACTTTGTTGGGCTCCATCCTAGGAAGCCACCAGCCAAATATGAAGATTCTATACCTTTTAGTTCATCAGAAGAAGTCGTTTGAAGAGTTTGACATATTTGACCGCTGTGACCTTGAAAGTACATCAAGGTCATTTTCATTTTCAAACTTTGTTGGGCTTCATCACAGGAAGCCATCAGCCAAATATGAAGATTCTATCTCTTTTAGTTCTTCAGAAGAAGTCGTTTGAAGAGTTTGATGCATTTGACCCCTCTGACCTTGAAAGTAGGTCAAGGTAATTTTCATTCTCAAACTTTGGCCGGCTCTATCTCATGAAGCCAACAGCCAAATATGAAGGTTCTATACCTTTTCGTTCTTCAGAAGAAGTCGTTTAAAGTGTTTGACATAATTGACAGCTGTGACCTTGAAAGTACGTCAAGGTCATTTTCATTCTCAAACTTTCTCCGGCTCCATCCCAGGAAGCCAGCAGCCAAATATGAAGATTCTATACTATTTAGTTCTTCAGAAGAAGTCATTTGAAGTTTTTGACATATTTGACCCCTGTGACCTTGAAAGTAGGTCAAGGTCATTTTCATTCTCAAACTTTGTCAGGCTCCAACCAACGAAGCTATCACCCAAATATCATGACTCTAGGCCTGTTCATTCTTCAGAAGAAGTTGTAAAAAGGAAAAGTTGACGAACGACAGACACCGCACCATGACATAAGCTCACTTGCCCTTCGGGCAGGTGAGCTAACAAGGAATCATTAACCAGCTGGTAGATAACAACAAGGATCTACTAACCAGCTGGTAGATAACAACAAGGAATCATTAACCAGCTGGTAGATAACAACAAGGAACCACTAACCAGCTGGTAGATAACAACAAGGAACCACTAACCAGCTGGTAGATAACAACAAGGAATCATTAACCAGCTGGTAGATAACAACAAGGAACCACTAACCAGCTGGTGGATAACAACAAGGATCCACTAACCAGCTGGTAGGTAACAACAAGGATCCACTAACCAGCTGGTAGGTAACAACAAGGATCCACTAACCAGCTGGTAGATAATAATAAGGATCCACTAAGCAGCTGGTAGATAACAACAAGGAATCACTAACCAGCTGGGAGATAACAACAAGGATCCACTAACCAGCTGGTAGATAAAAACAAGGAATCACTTACCAGCTGGTAGATAACAACAAGGAACCACTTACCAGCTGGTAGATAACAACAAGGAACCACTTACCAGCTGGTAGATAACAACAAGGATCCACTCACCAGCTGGTAGATAACAACAAGGATCCACTAGCCAGCTGGTAGATAACAACAAGGAATCACTTCCCAGCTGGTAGATAACAACAAGGATCCACTATCCAGCTGGTAGATAATAATAAGGATCCACTACCCAGCTGGTAGATAACAACAAGGATCCACTAGCCAGCTGGTAGATAACAACAAGGAATCACTTCCCAGCTGGTAGATAACAACAAGGATCCACTAGCCAGCTGGTAGATAACAACAAGGAATCACTTCCCAGCTGGTAGATAACAACAAGGATCCACTAGCCAGCTGGTAGATAACAACAAGGAATCACTTACCAGCTGGTATATAATAATAAGGATCCACTAACCAGCTGGTAGATAACAACAAGGCATCACTTACCAGCTGGTAGATAATAATAAGGATCCACTAAGCAGCTGGTAGATAACAACAAGGAATCACTAACCAGCTGGTAGCTAACAACAAGGAATCACTAACCAGCTGGTAGATAATAACAAGGAACCACTTACCAGCTGGTAGATAACAACAAGGATCCACTAAACAGCTGGTAGATAACAACAAGGATCCACTAACCAGCTGGGAGATAACAACAAGGAATCACTAACCAGCTGGTAGATAACGACAAGGAATCACTAACCAGCTGGTAGATAACGACAAGGAATCACTAACCAGCTGGTAGATAACGACAAGGAATCACTAACCAGCTGGTAGATAACAACAAGGATCCACTAACCAGCTGGGAGATAACAACAAGGAATCACTAACCAGCTGGTAGATAACGACAAGGAATCACTAACCAGCTGGTAGATAACGACAAGGAATCACTAACCAGCTGGTAGATAACAACAAGGATCCACTCACCAGCTGGTAGATAACAACAAGGATCCACTAGCCAGCTGGTAGATAACAACAAGGAATCACTTCCCAGCTGGTAGATAACAACAAGGATCCACTAACCAGCTGGTAGATAATAACAAGGAATCACTTACCAGCTGGTAGATAATAACAAGGAAACACTAACCAGCTGGTAGATAACAACAAGGAATCCCTAACCAGCTGGTAGATAACAACAAGGAATCCCTAACCAGCTGGTAGATAACAACAAGGAATCACTTACCAGCTGGTAAATAACAACAAGGAATCACTTACCAGCTGGTAAATAACAACAAGGAATCACTTACCAGCTGGTAAATAACAACAAGGAATCACTTACCAGCTGGTAAATAACAACAAGGAATCACTTACCAGCTGGTATATAATAATAAGGATCCACTAACCAGCTGGTAGTTAACAACAAGGAATCATTAACCAGCTGGTAGATAACAACAAGGAACCACTTACCAGCTGGTAGATAACAACAAGGAATCACTTCCCAGCTGGTAGATAACAACAAGGATCCACTATCCAGCTGGTAGATAATAATAAGGATCCACTAAGCAGCTGGTAGATAACAACAAGGAATCACTAACCAGCTGGTAGCTAACAACAAGGAATCACTAACCAGCTGGTAGCTAACAACAAGGAATCACTAACCAGCTGGTAGATAATAACAAGGAATCACTAACCAGCTGGTAGATAATAACAAGGAACCACTTACCAGCTGGTAGATAACAACAAGGATCCACTCACCAGCTGGTAGATAACAACAAGGATCCACTATCCAGCTGGTAGATAATAATAAGGATCCACTAACCAGCTGGTAGATAACAACTAGGAATCACTAACCAGCTGGTAGATAACAACAAGGAATCACTTACCAGCTGGTAGATAATAATAAGGATCCACTAACCAGCTGGTAGATAACAACAAGGAATCACTAACCAGCTGGTAGATAACAACAAGGAATCACTAACCAGCTGGTAGATAACAACAAGGATCCACTAACCAGCTGGTAGATAATAATAAGGATCCACTAACCATAGTGAACACAATGAAGTTCTTACCAGGTTTTATTAATCAATGAACAACTAACTAGATATGTTACAACAATACTTTTTTTTTTACAAATTCTTTAAACACTCACGAGTATGAAGTCTTTTGGTTTTTTTCTTCTCTTTCTTCTACATCTTCATATATACCATCTTCACACAGATAAACATCCATCTTTTCTTTAACCAGAACAGCATCATCATACATCATACTCTGTTCAGTTGCCCATTCCATTGCACAATCGTCAGGCTCATATTCATCACCCCCCTGGTACTAAAACATCACAGATCCCATTTAATATCAAAATTGAAATTTTCCACCTGTTATCTACATCGTCTCACTTTCTCAATAAATTTCGCTTAAAGTTTGATGACTTTTGATATATGACAAGAGTCCCAGGGACCTTAAGAAGACCTGAGTTTGATATATGACAAGAGTCCCAGGGACCTTAAGAAGACCCGAGTTTGTTTTAGCAATTATGTTATTGAAATAATCGTTATATAGGGCAAGATACAGTAGGACATGTAAATATGGCAACTGTTGATTCACTGACAATCTCATTTTGCCCCGAGCTCCCAGGTCATGGCCTTACTTATACCACAAAACTGTCATCTCATGATAATTATTTTATTAAAGTTTTAATTGTTTTCTACCTTATAAACAAAACATCACCTAATAAACAAATACCTATACTTTAAATTGTTATTTCAAAGTATATGGTAAACCCCCCACCTTTAGGGGAGAAATGGTGACTTTGAGGTAACGAAATTCACAGTTTTTATATAGCACCTTAGGATCTTTCCATTTGTCCAATGTCAAATCAACAGACTTATAATATTATACTAGTGTCAAACCAACTAAAAACATCCCTATCAGATTAACAAAACATATTTATATGGTGTTGATGTGATATGTTATGTGAACTTACGTAAGTTTTAGCATGTAATTCATCTAAAGTTATGCTTTCTTCCTCCTCTTCCTCCTCTTCCTCCTCCTTAGCAAAGCAGAAAAAAAAATGATTTATGATATTGTAATAATCATATACTCTTATACTTTCTATATGTGTAACTGTAAGGTGTTCAATATTGCTATATATAGTCTACAGGTAACAGAGGTAGTTTTTATCGTGTGTAGTCAACCTTGATAGAATACCCTTCACTTATATTTTCCATCGATAATTGTACGACTAGATTATTTAGGTTATATCATCTTACATAAGACCAGCGGTCACTGGCCCTGGGTCGATCTTTTTCTCTCTCCTTGGAAGACGACAAGGTAATTAATATTATAGTTTTGGAATAACGACCTCTCTACACCTTGCTGATAGTGAATTGCTGGCGTAACAGGGGACCTGGGATGAGCTGTACTGCAGGGGTATTAGCGCGGCACTGAGTACGCTGGGAAACGCCAGTAGCGCCAGGAAAGTGGCGCCAGCGTATTTGCTGACCAAGTGGTTCCCGGTAATTCCGTTATCGGCGAGGGTAGCGGTGGCCGCACGTTCCAGAGGTTCGGAAGCCTGTGTTACTATATGTAAATAGCTACTTCTATCTCATCACATGTAAATACTTCATTCGCCAAAATGAACCTGATCGAACTGTTTTTGTCGTTGCTGGTCATATGTTGTTGTTTATGTCTATACAACAAGAACCGGGAAAAACGTTACAATATGATTGTATTTGTTAGACGCAATTGATGAACTCTTCTAATTGTTTTTGTTTTGTTCAGGGTTTAATGTCTACAAACCGTTGAGGCCATGCCAAGATAGACGTCTAGGGAGACATACCAAAATGAAAGGCTGGAGAGACACCGACATTTACAAGAATTCCACAGGAGCGGATGTGTTGCCTGCTCAGCGCTTTTAGTGAGAAAAGTGTTTTGGCTTGAGTTATAGCGTAAATAAGCAAAAATTTATGGCAAAAACGATGAACAGCGTTCCTATATGTCAAGTGTGATATGCCAAAACGTGGAAAGTTGAAACTCAACAGAAAAACCTGTAACATATGTTGATCATTATTGCTCCTAGCATTACCATACAAAATTTAAAAGGAGTTGATTAAAATATAAACGAATTCTTGCATTTACTACACAATGCCCTTATTTGGCAATAGAAGGGGCATAACTCCACCAAAAATGCATGTAAACTTCTGAAATGCGAACTTGTCTGAGCTATACTGTTATGCAATAGGTGGACCAACCCAAGGGAACTGAAGTTATCGCACGGAAACCTTGTTTCGGACAACGCAACCGACGCTTTGCAGGCGACACAAAAAGGCGGTTGGTTGGAGAGAAATGAAAATGTCGATGTCTCAAGAGTTGCAATGGAGACAGTACATCAATTTTTGTTTTTCCAATGTCCCCTTAGAAGAGAACACAGAAAAAAAATGTCCCAAGCTTCGGGTTCCACATGAGTCACCTCTTGTGGAGTGGGATACAGCAGGCCTATTGTTTTATTTATTTTTTTAAACTTTATTTATTTTTTTAAACTTTATTTATTTTACAACAATTATGACACAAGTTATTTCAACTTATATTCATCACTCTTGTAAGCCCGGAGGTCTTAATGTGGGAGGAAACCAGAGTACCCCAAGAAAACCCACGTGGTCGGGTAGGTGACCCCATACCTTTTCACGTCTGATCAGGGAATCAAACCCCGGCTGCCTTGGTGAAAGACAAGTGCACTATCCACTGCGCCACCCGACCACCCAGGCCTATTCTTTCCCTGAACCTGCAGTTCGGTTTCTTGTGAAAACTTTAGGTAATCTTTTTTATGCCTAAATATGACTGGGCAGAGGGGGTACCTCCAACCTTTCAAGTGTTCTCTAGAATCAGCACAAGAAAAATAATTTAAATTGCATATTTTCAAAACTTATAACAGATTACCAAAACGTTTGGACATCTTTCAACAATACCATTTTAAATAAATGGAAATTGAAAAAAAAATCTATATATAATGTTCTGAAACAAAAAGAAATCATAGATTTGTCCTCAAAATTGCAACACGTAATATTATAGGTAGCTTCACAAACCTATTATATCTAATTACAATAAAAACTCAGTAGAGCATGAAATAAACAAGAAATGTGTATATCTACTTGAGGATATAGTTTAAATGTATCTATTTTACATGTATATGGCCAAATCTTGGTAGTTGAAATGTATATAGACAGTGTGAGATCTACTATGTCAGTAGGAAGTTTTGATAGTATGGGTTTACATTACTAGACAGGATCTGATGAATACATTACACTTACACCACTAGACAGCATCTGGTGAATACATTACACTTACACCACTAGACAGCATCTGGTGAATACATTACACTTACACCACTAGACAGCATCTGGTGAATACATTACACTTACACCACTAGACAGCATCTGGTGAATACATTACACTTACACCACTAGACAGCATCTGGTGAATACATTACACTTACACCACTAGACAGCATCTGGTGAATACATTACACTTACACCACTAGACAGCATCTGGTGAATACATTACACTTACACCACTAGACAGCATCTGGTGAATACATTACACTTACACCACTAGACAGCATCTGGTGAATACATTACACTTACACCACTAGACAGCATCTGGTGAATACATTACACTTACACCACTAGACAGCATCTGGTGAATACATTACACTTACACCACTAGACAGCATCTGGTGAATACATTACACTTACACCACTAGACAGCATCTGGTGAATACATTACACTTACACCACTAGACAGCATCTGGTGAATACATTACACTTACACCACTAGACAGCATCTGGTGAATACATTACACTTACACCACTAGACAGCATCTGGTGAATACATTACACTTACACCACTAGACAGCATCTGGTGAATACATTACACTTACACCACTAGACAGCATCTGGTGAATACATTACACTTACACCACTAGACAGCATCTGGTGAATACATTACACTTACACCACTAGACAGCATCTGGTGAATACATTACACTTACACCACTAGACAGCATCTGGTGAATACATTACACTTACACCACTAGACAGCATCTGGTGAATACATTACACTTACACCACTAGACAGCATCTGGTGAATACATTACACTTACACCACTAGACAGCATCTGGTGAATACATTACACTTACACCACTAGACAGCATCTGGTGAATACATTACACTTACACCACTAGACAGCATCTGGTGAATACATTACACTTACACCACTAGACAGCATCTGGTGAATACATTACACTTACACCACTAGACAGCATCTGGTGAATACATTACACTTACACCACTAGACAGCATCTGGTGAATACATTACACTTACACCACTAGACAGCATCTGGTGAATACATTACACTTACACCACTAGACAGCATCTGGTGAATACATTACACTTACACCACTAGACAGCATCTGGTGAATACATTACACTTACACCACTAGACAGCATCTGGTGAATACATTACACTTACACCACTAGACAGCATCTGGTGAATACATTACACTTACACCACTAGACAGCATCTGGTGAATACATTACACTTACACCACTAGACAGCATCTGGTGAATACATTACACTTACACCACTAGACAGCATCTGGTGAATACATTACACTTACACCACTAGACAGCATCTGGTGAATACATTACACTTACACCACTAGACAGCATCTGGTGAATACATTACACTTACACCACTAGACAGCATCTGGTGAATACATTACACTTACACCACTAGACAGCATCTGGTGAATACATTACACTTACACCACTAGACAGCATCTGGTGAATACATTACACTTACACCACTAGACAGCATCTGGTGAATACATTACACTTACACCACTAGACAGCATCTGGTGAATACATTACACATTATAATTCTACCTTATAATCACTGTTATAATTCTACCTTATAATCACTGTTATAAATTCTACCTTATAATCACTGTTATAATTCTACCTTATAATCACTGTTATAATTCTACCTTATAATCACTGTTATAATTCTACAAGATAATCAATGTTATAATTCTACCTTATAATCACTGTTATAATTCTACCTTATAATCACTGTTATAAATTCTACCTTATAATAACTGTTATACATTCTACCTTATAATCACTGTTATACATTTTACCTTATAATCACTGTTATACATTTTACCTTATAATCACTGTTACAACTAATTCTACCTTATAATCACTGTTATACATTCTACCATATAATCACTGTTATACATTCTACCTTATAATCACTGTTATAAATTCTACCTTATAATAACTGTTATACATTCTACCTTATAATCACTGTTATACATTCTACCTTATAATCACTGTTATACATTTTACCTAATAATCACTGTTATACATTTTACCTTATAATCAGTTACAACTAATTCTACCTTATAATCACTGTTTTACATTCTACCATATAATCACTGTTATACATTCTACCATATAATCACTGTTATACATTCTACCTTATAATCACTGTTATAACTAATTCTACCTTATAATCACTGTTATTAATACTACCTTATAATCTCTGTTATAAATTCTACCTTTTAATCACTGTTATAAATTCTACCTTATAATCACTGTTATAAATTCTACCTCATAATCACTGTTATACATTCTACCATATAATCACTGTTATTAATACTACCTTATAATCACTGTTATAAATTCTACCTTATAATCACTGTTATAAATTCCTTATTGGATCTCTTGGTTTGTTGAATTTAAATAAATTAATAAAGCAGTCATGGATCGAATATAAGCCTATGATATAACCAGCTGATACAGTCTCTATAGATGGGTATGTTAAAAAAACATCTTACAGAGTCTGAAAGAACGTCCCACAGGTCCTGCAGGTTGATGTCTGGCCTAAGAAACGTGCAAACTTCTTGATGTTCTATTTCCAACAGATCATCCAGATCAGGCGATGAAGTCAGCTTTTCATCCTGAAACACAACAATTATCTTTTCATTCTGAAATATTACGTACCCAGCAGTATGAACTCAAAAATAATCTGACGAGGTTTCTACAGAATCTGTTTTAACTACCGTATTTGACCACAAATAAGCCTCCTCCCCACTTTGGCCAATGTCCTGGGAACAGGGTGGGCGCCTGCAATTAAGCCCCCTCCCTAAATTCATCTCTCTCTCAAACAAAATGTGTTTTAATATTTTGTCTCTGGACATATGCAAATTAATTAACTGGATGAAAACAACATTAAGCCAAGTTAAAAACTACAAATAATTATGTCACTCAATTAGGCACAATAATAAATAACATGTAGTGACATGTACTCTACTGTGGTTCTGTACTGGGTTGTTTTTTAAGGATTATGTAATTATGTAGTCATGAATGAATTAAAGATTTATATTATATTACATGGTATAACTCAAGGAATATTCAGGTATTTCTATACCAAATTGTTCTTTTCAATTAGTTGCATTATTTGATGACAAGTTTTAAATGGAGCTGATAAAATGAAGATTATGAGCATGGTTTGTCAATCTGATTTAAAATCATCTGTTACATGGTTCCATTAACTTCATACTATGCCTGAGTATGAAGTTAACGGAGCCATGTAACAGATGATTTTGATCAGATTGAAGGTTTGTCAAATGCTAAAACTCTACAATAAATCATCGAGATTGGTAATATTATTATCATATGCATTCATAAAGGCATAACTATTGGATGAAGTATGCCTTGCTGTTTCTATAAATAACCAGGTGCATGAACGGATGGACGCACGCACAGATGGCGGATGGACCCATTTCTTAATCCCCCACCAACTCATTGAGCGGGAGATAAAAACTAAAAAAGTACTATAAATGGTAGTCTTTGTGTTATCAATAACTATATATATCAGAAAATAATATAATATCACTCTCAAAGTGAAAGGTGGAGCTCTGGGTACGGTATTTACTAAAGCTTATCTTAACTGGAGGAGAGTAGTTGTCCACTCTTTGTACAGTTTATAACCACCTGCTCTGTTAGAGGCTTATCAGAGTGAAATCGTGTAGTTCAATTTATTCCCTCCAACCTTTTCTCGTTTCTCCACCGCTATGAAGCTGGTCAGCTGAGTCACTATACAGAACTGTTTGCTCAGCTTAATAACATAGTCCTTCAGGTCCATCTTCATTTTCTGAAATCGAGTTGAAAAGATTTAATATCACATAACAATAAGTGTCAGATACAATGTTACACAAAAGCGGTCATATGTAACATGAAAATAAATGGTGACCTATTGTTACCCTGAAACATAAACCTGCTCAAGGTATTCCAATGCTTGACCTATATAGAAGGACTTCAGACTATGCTTGATACCTTGTATGACTATAGTACCACATGGAATATAAAGGTCAATGTGGCCAAAACGAAAATCGTTGTCTTTCGTAATGGCGGTAACCTTTCAAATAATAACAGATGGTATTACAATGGAAAAACCATTGAAATTGTTGAGTCCTTAAATTATCTGGTTGTAACATTGTTTTATAATGGAAAGTTTACCCAAACTCAGAATATTATTAGTCAGCAAGGTCGAAAACGTGTATACCGCATAACGAATATTTGTAATAACAATTTTTTTAACATTGAAACTAAAATATACGTATTTGATATTTATGTTTCAAGTGTATTAAACTACGGCTGTGAAGTATGGGGATTCCATGCTGCCCCTGACGTAGAGAAAGTGCACATAGATTTTTGTAAGCGCTTACTTAATGTTAGAAGGTGTACTCCAAACAATATGTTGTACTCTGAACTTGGTAGATTACCACTTTGTATAATACGGAAAATGAGAATAATTAAGTATTGGTTGAAATTACTTGAAACAGATAACTGTATTTTGAAAGCCTTGTATAATGATATGTTGTCTGAAGTAAATACAAAGGCCAACTGGCTTAGTAATGTGAAATCAATGTTAATGTCTCTAGGTTTTGGATATGTTTGGTATGATCAGAAAGTTGTATGTAAGAATCAATTTATATTGGACGTTAAACTACGTCTACGTGATGTTTTTATACAAAATATGAACAATTTTTTTGAAAACTCTACGAAATGTTTTTTATATAGATGTCTGCCCGAGGTTAATTGTCTTCAGTATTATCTTTGTAAATCTTTTCCTGAATCTTGTATTTTAACCATTGCGAAATTTAGATTATCTTCACACGACCTTCGTATAGAAAGGGGCAGATATGAGAGAATACCTCGTAATGAAAGACTTTGTTTAAAGTGTAATTTAGGCGATATAGAGGACGAATTGCATTTTATTCTTGTTTGTCCATTTTACAACGAAGTAAGAACACAATATATTGACAGATATTACAGAATTAGACCGTCTATGTTTAAATTAATTAATTTACTTTCTGTTAGAAGTAAGAGGAAATTGAATAATCTTTCCAAATTTTTAATTTCTGCTTCACAACTGAGATCAAATGAATAATTACACATATTGTCCATCCTCCATAATATGTCTGTATTGCTGTGTATCACTCACTCAATTTTGTAAAATGTATTGTAATGTTTATGCTGATTAGCCGAAAGGCTAAAGGCCAATAAACTAAACTAAACTAAACCAGAGCCACTTGTTGATTGAGGCTTTGACAAAACAAGACTCATATACTGACTGAAATTCAAACAGTACAATAGTTACCTGTTGATTGAGGCTCTCACTAAACACAACTTACCTGTTGATTGAGGCTCTCACTAAACACAACTTACCTGTTGATTGAGGCTCTCACTAAACAAAACTTATCTGTTGATTGAGGCTCTCACTAAACAAAACTTACCTGTTGGTTGAGGCCATCAGATGACAGAAGTCCATCTTCCCAGTCACGGATGATTGCTTTGGCTGCCAGACGATGCAGGATCTGTAACAATTTATAAAAGTTTATTCATACCTAGGCTACAATAACGTATATCATGTAGCTATAGGACTTTTAGGTTTAAATCGATTTACATACTGTTACACCATGTTATATGTTTACATACTGTTACACCGTGTTATATGTTTAAACTTGTTAAACATTTTGTTTGTTACAGTATCTGATGAACAAACCATCATTAACACCAAAAAAACTCAGATTCTTGATATTAGAAACTATAATGATAAATCATCATGATGTATATCTGAAACTTGCATTGCCATATTTTTTTAAAAGATAAAAGGAAATATAACATGTTTTAATGTTTAAAAACTCATTATTACTTGATAGGGAACTTTTCAACAAGCTATTTTATGATACCACCTCCAATCTGTAAGTAACAGATATACATGTATTAAATAAAATGTTGATCGTAATGAAAAAAAGAGTTAATTCCTCTCAATTGGTGAGATGTACCTTTCCTTTGGTTACATAGCGATCAGACTTGGTCACTAATGCAGCTATTTCCTCATCACCTACTTCAGCAGACAGTGTTGCCTGCAAGAAAAATAAGTTTTTCTTACATTGAATTTGCCATAGACAAAGTCAGCTCTACATATATGGAAACCTCCATTTTTTTTAAATTTAGAAATGCCCTGATGAACACTATTCATTCATGAACAGAAATTTGCATTGAACAGTTTTTGTGCCTTTCACCCTTATACAGGTCCAATTTAAGTTGGATGTTCAAGTTTGAAATATTTTTAACAAGCATAATTTGTATTAGCAGATTTTTTTTTTTTTAATCTGTTAAAGTATTAAAGTGAGTACAATGCTTAACACCAATAATTTATTACTTACAATGTCAGATTTCATTGAAACATTATTTAAAACGAGATTTTACACCTCCATTCCTGATTGGAAATGAAATTTACAGACATAACACAGTGTCTTATTATTAAGTCTTAAATAGGTCACCTTGAACTAATAATGCTATGAATCAAGTTTGGTGAACTTGCATAAAATTAATTTCTTTTATTTTCAGTGGAGTTTAATATAAAAGTTACTGTGACCTAGTTACAGGGGCGGGGAAAAGCACTCATCCGTTCATCGTGGTGATTGTATTTCATTGTCAGGCAACTGACGCTACTTGTTCATCATACAAGTAAAACAAATACAGTAACTGGAATTCCTAAATTAAGGTTATTATTAATTACCAGCAGTTATCATTATAAATGTATTCCGGTAATTATTAATGTTAATAAAGTTAACTATGTAAGCAGTAAGAGAGTTACCTCCATAAACGTTAATAAGCCATGTTAACTCCAAAAACAGAGTACATGGTACTCAGGTACTAACCGGTTAACTCCAACCAGTAAATTCGTGGAATTTATATCCCCCGCTTTCAGGAAATATCGTAGGTAAACATTATTGAGGTTACGTTTAAACATGTGAGTATCGTGCTGTTGAGACATAATGTATAGCTTGAAATTTGAAGAAAAAAAAGCCTTATCTAATATTTGCTAGAGTAATTAAGAGGAAACTGCAGATAATGACTCTGCCAAATGGAGTCCGATGAAAATGGTTGTTGAACTTGACCTAGCCCTTAAGGCATTTACCAAGTTTGAAGAAAATGGGTTAATATTTCTTGTAGTTATTGCACGGAAACGAAGCGCGGCAGATAATGACATTTTTCATTATTCAAGGGGCCATAACTCCGCCAAATGTGGTCCGCTGAAAGTGGTCATCAAACTTGACCGAGCCCTTAAGGCGTTTAACCCTGTGACCAAGTTTGAAGAAAATCAGTAAACATTTGTTGTAGTTATTGCACGGAAACGAAGAGTGACAGACAGACAGACTGACAAACCCAAATTAATATCCCTGTTTCGGTGAAAGCAGGGGATAAAAACAGAGTTACATCGTACTAAGGTGAACTCTTTAAATGTTAACAATGTTAACTCCATAAGGATAAGGTAAATCCTGTACACATAAGTAATGCAATCAACAAGATCAACCAAAGAGAATTATTCTGTTAAATAGAATTCTTACAACACTTACACTGGTACAGTTCTGTACAAAGCCATACACTACCATCCTCGATCCACTGAAGAGAGCTGTGATCTGATTGGGTGCTTGTTTTGGAGGTGGAGCACCATCTCCCTGTTGCCAGGAGACAGCTACTGATGTCAATCCAGGTTGTCCTGCTTTAGCAATCTGTGACTTCACCTAGAGTCAATCCATAGACAGCTATTGATTAGATATAATTTCGGAAGATAGATAATGTGAGAAAGAAGGAAATAATCCACTATACATGCTCTCCCCATGCACTCACATCTTGTTTACAGAATGCTTACAGAAAACAATGATAAGGAAATTGATTGCAAACCTACTAATATTACCAGTTCTATAACTATAACTTATATCAATTCTTTGGCAAAATTCACATAGTCATCCTCATATGAGTTGCAATATGAGATACGAGGCCTTTCAAGACAAATGGGTGAACTAAAAGTTAGTGGCCTCTCTTGAGAGAGTTTCTCCAAACAGATGGTCTCCATTAGACAAGGCATTCAAGACGGATATAATCTCAAGACTGGTGACCTCTCATTACAGATACGCTCTTAAGATGCATGATCCGTCCTTGTATTCACTCTCTTGACAGATCCTGTGCCCTCTTGAGATAGTGGCCTAAAGAATGGCTGCTCGACAGATTCTGTCAAGACATAGTATTAATGATGACATAAAAAGGCTTTTCAAAAATATAATTCATTTTCTAAATGTTCCCACATGATGATTGATAATATTTACCTTGTCTTCCCACTTGGACTTGGCTTTACTGTCAAATCCTTCAAATGCTCCAGCCCCAACACGAGCCAATGCTCCAAGCAGGTGACGGTTCATCACATTGCTAGAAAACAGGAATGTGAATGGTGGTGGTCTTTAGAGAAAAGGGAGACAATCAATGTTCCATATATTTTGACATAATTAACTTTTCAATAGAAGTAGACTTAATAACAGGTGCCACAATATCAACACAATTTGAATTTTCCTTTAAATGTATTCTGGAATCTACTAGTGCAAAAGATAGGCTTGTTAATACTGCAACATTTTAAAACTTGTACCTGACTCCGAATGTAAACACTCGTGTATGCTGGGAATTTTTGTGCACTGTATCCATGGTAACGTCTTGATGGTTGATGTGCCCATCAGACACAAGGAAAATATTTCGAGAAACACTCTCTGGTTTAAGGAGGTAAAACGAGTGTAAAGGTCGGTACAAATCTGTATTTCCCATGTTGGCATCTACGGACTGTAATGAAAATTAAAATTCAACTATCAGTACTATTGTATCTAGGAATATTTCTAATCTATGGTTCAGCCAGCTGGATATTGACACATGTCAATTACTGAAGCATCAATTAACAGACTGCAGGTCTATAAATAGACTGCAGGTCTATAAATAGACTGCATGTTCCAGCCAACACTGATATGGTTTTTCCACTACAATAGCCATTAAGCCTATAATTCTGAGTTGAAGACAGATTTCTGTTATCAAGTCATAAATTTGTAGCATTCCAGCTTTTTCATAGTTCAGGCATTTTTTTTAAATAATCGAGAAACGAAGGTAACTGGATCATGAAGTGTGGCTCGATCTATTTCAAATCACTTGCTATTTTCTGAATTCATTGTGAGATCACTTTCAGCTGTGTATTCATTTTACTTAATATAAAGTTGATCTTGAATTTTCTTAATCTTACAGCTATTTATTAACTCAAGATTTTCCTCAAATTTGAGACTGTTTACACAAGGCCTACACCAGAGCTAAGAACTTATTACTGTAATCAAAATCCCCTTACAGCTCTGCAAACTTAACTTATTAGCATTCCCCAGAATGGTTTTTTTAAAAGAATATTATTAAAACTGCAATTCTTCACAATTAGCTAGCACGGGTATATCACATGACTGACCTGTATCAGCAACTAGCTAGCACGGCTATATCACATGACTGACCTATATAGCACGGGTATATCATATGACTGACCTGTATCAGCATCTAGCTAGCACGGGTATATCACATGACTGACCTGTATAGCACGGCTATATCACATGACTGACCTGTATCAGCAACTAGCTAGCACGGGTATATTACATGACTGACCTGTATCAGCAACAAGCTAGCACGGGTATATCACATGACTGACCTGTATCAGCAACTAGCTAGCATGGGTATATCACATGACTGACCTGTATAGCACGGGTTTATAACATGAATGACCTGTATAGCACGGGTATATCACATGACTGACCTGTATAGCACGGGTATATCACATGACTGACCTGTATATAGCATGGCTATATCACATGACTGACCTGTATCAGCAATTAGCTAGCAAGGGTATATTAAATGACTGATCTGTATCAGCAACTAGCTAGCACGGGTATATCACATGACTGACCTGTATCAGCAACTAGCTAGCTCGGCTATATCACATGACTGACCTGTATAACACGGGTATATTAAATGACTGACCTGTATCAGCAATTAGCTAGCATGGGTATATTACATGACTGACCTGTATCAGCAACTAGCTAGCACGGCTATATCACATGACTGATCTGTATAGCACGGCTATATCACATGACTGACCTGTATATAGCATGGCTATATCACATGACTGACCTGTATACAGCATGGCTATATCACATGACTGACCTGTATATAGGATGGCTATATCACATGACTGACCTGTATCAGCAACTAGCTAGCATGGGTATATCACATGACTGACCTGTATAGCATGGCTATATCACATGACTGACCTGTATAGCACGGCTATATAACATGACTGACCTGTATCAGCGCCTCAGCTGCCACAACATTAGATTTGTTCTTAGGCTGGCTTGAAGGGAAAAGTTCACGGAAAGCTGTCAAAGACAAAAACATCTGAATTACAGTCATGCCTTCTCATGCAATCACCTCAATAAAGAGACCACCTGTGTTAAGAGACTACCTGTGTTAAAGAGACCACTTCTAATGTTCCCCATTGTTGTGATTTCATTTTGAGCTAAACATGTATTAATAGACTATCTGTGTGAAAAGACCACTTTTGGTCCCCCTTAGGGATAGTATCTAAATACAGGCAAGGAAAGGTAGTGCGAGCAATCCATACTCCCCATCAGTATCAATATCAACTTTTAAATGAACAAGGGGCATAACTCTGTATATAGAGGAACACAAGACCTGATTTCTGTAGGCGACAGTCAACTGTAAAGTAATTTGGTCATCTGATAGTTTCTTTCAATGTATGTTTCAAATATCCAATTTTCTCAAAGTTTACTCACAATCCCAATACATAAATAAATTGAATTTTAATTTATTTACTTACTTGTTCCAAATATGACAACATTGAACGTCCAGGGGTTGGGCAGGTGATGCAGGATTAGGAGGAGGACCTTCTTGGCCTCGTTCAGCCCCTCATCAGTCATAGAGTTGGACAAGTCCAGCATGAGAATCACCTCTGCCTGACTGTCCTCACAGGCCTCAAACTCGGGATAGAATGTCAGCATACATGCCTAGGGGAACAAACAATCTTATAGTAAAGTCAGGCTAAAACATGATAACAAATATTCTTATAGTAAAAACAGGCTAAAAGATGAAAACAAACATTCTTATAGTAAAATCAGGCTAAAACATGATAACAAACAATCTTATAGTAAAATCAGGCTAAAAGATGATAACAAATATTCTTATAGTAAAGTCAGGCTAAATCATTATAACAAACAATCTTATAATAAAATCAGGCTAAAAGATGATAACAAATATTCTTATAGTAAAGTCAGGCTAAAACATGATAACAAACAATCTTATAGTAAAATCAGGCTAAAACATGATAACCCCCCCACACTCCCACTTTTTTAGGGTTTGGGGGACGAGTTTGTCTTTACACAATTTTTGAATTATGAATTAAGTCTGAAAACTGTTCCCCTTACCTTGATTTTTGTGCAAACAAAAACACAACAAGTGATTTGTTTCACATATATTTCAAGCACATTCATAATGTCACAAAGAATATGGACAATATAATGCTAATAAAAATGGCATGTGATTCCTCAAGGAATAGTTTGAAGAAATTCAGAAGATGCATTATAATTTTACAACTGTGTGCAGTATTAATTATATCAAAATAACTCGGCTGGCATCATGATGCCCCCATACATTTTGAAACAGGTACCTAATTATCAGTTTAATAAAACAGGTAAGTAATATAAACAAGAGGCCCATGGGCCTTAACGGTCACCTGAGTCTACAGTATTTATTTTTGTTGTTGAAATATGTACCAATTTGAGTAAAAAATAGTATAATGTTAACTTAACTTTGTCAGGACCATGAGCTGATCATTCCTAGACCAATTTTAAGTGAGATCGGCCTATTAGAACTTAGTAGCAAAATA